TTAACCCACAGTAAAAAACTATGGCTTTGCTTGGTCATCTATTTTAACTTTCTTGTTTGCACACTGGTTGAAAATTGGATGGATATGGAGCCAGTGTGAGTGGCCTGAGGACTGCTGTTGAGTGAGCCCCTGGGCATGACTGTTGATGTGCAGCAGTGAGAAGTGCCAGACGGTGTGCAGAGATGGGGCATTGGTGGTGGTGTTTTCTGAGTAGGGAGCACTGGACCTAGGATGGGGTGGTGGGGGACACTTGGGCACAGTAAGGGGAGGAATGGGTAAGGATGCAGAATGTATTTGGTCAGTATCCCTCCACTTGCTTATTCATCAGGCCATGTGGAGCATCAGGTGCTGGAGTGTAAGTAAATCCGAGGATAGCAACATGAACTGAGCGCTTTGTGGTGCAAGGACCTCACTGCACGCAGAGAAGACAGACGTGGAAGGTGATGCGGCAGTGAGGGAGGCACGCACTGGCGCACTGTCCAAGAGAAGATTTGGTAGAGGAGGTTTTCTTCCATTTAGCTGTATTTATAGACCCTCACCACGTGCCAGATGCCACCTAAGGGGCTTTTCTCTCATGTCTCCATGCACTTTTCCTAAAGGAACTGTTTGAGCCAAGCTTCAAACATAGATCTGCCTGACAGCAGAGCTCAAACGCTGCCTGCTGATTCCCTGCCTCCCCTGTGATGTGAACAGACCCTGGGAACAGGGCCAAGGGTGAAATCCTGATTGAGGTGCAGCAGAAAAGACCCCATCACCTCATTTCTCTTCCATTCATTAGAACTTTGGAGGAGCTCAGGTTGGAAAACCCAAGTGTGGGCTTTCTAGAGGCTTCAAGAGCTCTGTCTTTCATGCATTTAAAAGAGAAAACCCTAGCTCAACAGTTTAAAGTCACCTGCCCACGTAGTATAAGTAGTTAGTGGCAATGCTGGGGCTGCACCCCTGGTGCCCCAAATGTGAGGTCACTGTCTTTTTAAGGAAGGTTGAATTCAAAGAGTTCAGTAGCTGTTTAATTATTCAAAAACATGCCCAGGTGTCAAGGATGGCCCTGTTCCAAAGTGAAATTCCAATTTGATGCCTTTAACATTTTGGCTGTTACAATCACAGTGCTTTTAAAAGAGTTGAGTCAGTGATACATCACCTGTATAGCAATTGGAAACTTTGGGGCATGACATAAAGAAAATTACTCTTCTACCAGGTATCGTTTTTTCTTTTTATAAAAATCGTGTGTAAAAAAAGCAGTATGGTTATTAAAAGAAATGAACAGATAAAGCATTATAAAGTTGGTTAATACATAGTTAGGAAGTTATTTATCAATAAAACAATTTAAATAAATAGCCTTTACTTGTTACCTTTTAAAGAATTAAGCCATTAATATTGATTTTGCTCTTGACAAGCATATTTAACCCAGGTTACCATAACCTAGCACAGTTTGAAAACTTGTCTATTTTTGTATTACCATGTTTAATATTTAAATAGTTGTATTTTGGGTCATATTAATAAGTATACAAGAACAACAAAAACATTTTCATTTCTTTTCATTTTTCTGTTTTCTATTCCTCTTTCTTCTTTCTTTTCCTCCCCAGCCCTCCCTTCTCCTTCCTGTCCTAATAAGAGGACATTTGATTTTGTTGGTTTTCTTCTACAAATGGTATGAATAATACATGTAAATGTCCATACAACTCGAGTCCTTCTTCCATGACAGCATTGAGGATGACTCCGTCTAAGCCTTTTGTTCTGTAGATGGTGCACCTGAGAGGAAGTGCCCCAAAATGGCAAGGCAGCCTGAAATGCCTGCTTCCCGATGCCTATGGGCATCTCCCCTGTGAGGTGTTTATACCGTTCACACTCATCTCAAGGGCTTACCTATTTCATTGAAAACATTCTAAGAAGCCATGCAACACTGTGAGGGTTTTCCATGCAGCTCAACTGATTCTGTTCTGCTGGTCTGGAGAGAAGAGATGACCTGACTGGAGCCCCCTCCTGTCTGTTAATCGCTGTGAAGTCCCAGATGCTGGCTGTAGTGCAGTAGAAAGTATCCCTCCCCTTCTTTTTTTTTTTTTTAAGATCGCTTCCAACTCTGAAATACTGTAACTCAGTGAACAAAGATACTGTTTCTAATTCATGAAATAGTGCATGTATATAGTCTTATCAAAATAAGTATCGATTTCAAGATGCAAGAACATTCATTCTTGAAAAACCCAGAAAATTGTGAAAAAACATTAAAGCAGCCATGTTTTTACCACAAAAATCAATATAAATCTTTAAGTATGTTGAAAAGGTATATATGACTTTAACTTTTTTAATGAAAAAATCACTTTGTCAAACAGGATATAGATTGTAGAAATTATTTCATGAAAGATAACTTTTCACTGGAAGTATATACACTGAAATACTATTTTTTCCAGTTCAGTATAGTATACTTTGCAAATTATATTCATTCCATATATGCTACTTTGTAACAAAAATTTTTTTTATCTGGTGTATTTATTATGAGTATTTTCTTATAATTACATGATTAATGTTTTAATCCTGCCTCTTTTTTTGGCTAATACATGCTGATCATAGTTTAGGTCATATTCTCTCACCTGCCCATGTTTGTGTGCAGATTTTTTTTAAATGATATGATTCTAAGTTGCTTTATTCACTGATAAGCAGTAATAAACATTCTCCACATCAGTGAGTATTTATACTGTCACCTGAAGTAGATTGGTACTCCAGTGTGCGGTCTATTATAAATTGTTCAATTATTCTCCACATGCATTTACGTTGTTTCCACATTCTGGCTCCTACTTAGAATAAGATGTAACAAACCACCTCGATGGTGTATTCAATGAATTTCTCTCTCTCTCTCTTTTTAAACTAATATAACTGTTGGATTCCAACTTGCTGATCAAATGGCTTGTGCTTATTTCCCACGGAAAGACTCTTCAGATCTATTCTACCACCACCACCACATGAGAAGTCCTAGTTCTTTAAACACTCAGTGTATTAGGTATTATGTTATTTTTAATCTTTACCATATTAATGACCTGAAAAATCTCTTTGTTCATGTATTTTAAAAAAATTACATATTGGCTATTTTGCAGCATTTTTGTGGACTGCCTATTCCTGCACATTATTTGCCCATTTTTCTTTTGGAAGATTTATTTAAAAAAAAAATCTGACTTGAAGGTATTACATTTATAATCCTTTGTTGTGAAATCTGGAACACTTGGAAGAACTCGGTGATATGGAGATCATATTCTGGGGTGCCTGCAGAGTCTTGACATTTCCAGTTACTCCTCACTAGATGTTAGTGTTTGAACAATTGAAGGCACCTAACCAAAAAAAAAAAAATGGCTCTTTAGACATTTTCCCCAAGCAATTAGATGGTCAGGGTAAATGGGAATGCATAATTAGAGATGTAAATAGAGTCCTTTAATATAATTGTGCTCATAAGTCAAATAGATGATTCGTAACAATTTAATTCACCATTTTATTTTTGTCTGTTAAATTATTCATGTGAATGCCTTTGTGAGTTTAGTCATGGCTATTTGATAGGTGGTTGACTCATAACTATAAATGATTTCAGCCTTTAGTTTTCTCCTTTATGTCTAATTCACATATATAAGAAGGTAGTAAAAATTTACTTAATATGAACAAAGCCTCTCCACACAGAGTTGTAGAGCCTGTCTGACAAGCATTTAGTATGACTGGAGGTCAACATTATACCTGTTCTGGTGGTGCAGTGAGATAATAATAATCTACAGGGAAAATTACTTAGATTACCTAGAGAGAAAATCTTACCTAGAGGGAAAATACTATAAATCTCCATTTTACAACTGAGGGAAATGAGAGTCAGAGAGGTCGGGTAATTTTACAGATGTCACATAGCACGTTGGTGGCTGAGACTGGATTCCAAGCCAGGTCTCTGTGGGTTCAAAGGTTAAAGTTTCCCCGCCCCACAGTGCTTCTCATGATGGTCATCCCTGAGCACGGCCAGTGGGCACAGAAGCAGCCGTCCTCTCCTTCTGCTCCCACTCCTTTATCACCAGGCAAATTCACTAAGTAGGATCCAGCACCAGAGAGTCTGTCCTTTCCCCAGAGTTGTCTGGGGCTCAGACACGGAATAAAGCTGCTATCTTCGACTCTGCCTCTCGTTTTTCTCCTAACTTTTCATCCTCATGCTGGGCATAAACGTTGCCCTCTTCAGCTGTTTGGCCTGAACTGGGACAGGTTTATTGTAGAGAGTGTTGTGGGGTCCCCAGACGATCCCTCTAAGAAGGAGCCTGGCAAGGTGACCAGGAGATCCGTGAGGCATGGCCCCATTTCCGATTGTACCTTTGGACCTGTGCTTGCTGAGGGCCGTTTTTAGATTTGCCGTGAAAGGGCTGGGGGCTGGGTTGCTGAGGCCTCATGGGCTGGGGGAGCTGAACTGAAGGCTTCAGGGGCTGTTCTGCCTCTGGGACTGCCTGGGCTCAGTGGGGGAGCAAGTTGCCAGCACTGGGGTGGGTAGTGCCTCCTGAATCCTGTCTGGATGTGGCCTGGGGTTTCCTCAGGGAGGACCTTGGTGGGATCACAGAGGAGGAAAGTGCTAGCAGGAAGGAGGCAGGGGGACAGAAGGCCTTGTTGAGATGGGACATGGCCTCTCTGCACCCACCCACCTCAGTGCACTTGGGGATGACAGGACAACCTGCTCTCTGTGTGCAGTTAGCACCCTGTGAACGCGATGGGTCTTATTTTAACTTTATCCTTTGCGGTCTGCCCATCGCCCTTCCAAAGTAGGGCCAGATTGAGATCCACGGAGGAACTCTGTCCTTACCACCTGCTGTTACGGGATGTCCTGTTGTCCCTAACCATCTAGAGTGTTCTCCATCCTCCTGGAGTCTGACCTGGTGCTCCAGTATTAAAGCTGCCCTGGGTCATGTGTCAATCATCCGAGGGACCGCAGAGTCAGGGAAGGGCCAGGGTAGCTGTGATCCCAGTGGGCTGTGGCCAGCTGTGTGTCTCTGTCCCTGCAGGTGGTGCCCGGGCCAGGCCCCCAACCATGCAGGGCGGCCCACTTCTGGCTGCTCAGATGGTGGCCCTGCTGAGGAAACGGCTGAGCCACACATGCCAGGCCTGGAAGGGTGCGCTGTCCGACCTGCTGCTGCCCATGCTCTTTGTGGCCTTGGCAATGGGCTTGTTCATGGTGAGGCCTTTGGCCATCGACTACCCGCCTCTCAAACTAACGCCCGGCCATTATGACAGCGCTGAAACTTACTTTTTCAGGTAAGGAGCTTTTCTTTCCCCCTTTTTATTTCAAAATATGTCAAGACAGATTTTGAATACCAAAAGCTTTGATATGTTTAAGAATTTCAGACATGTGTTTTCATTAGTTTGGAGCCCTGCATGTGTGCAGGTAAGCTCTGGGGAGCTCTTGCTTCTTCCAGGCTGTGTCTCCTGGCAGATGTCTGGGGCACGTGAGGCCAGACTGGCCTCCAACCTCCGTGTCCCTGGGACCCTAGCTCCCAAGGGCATATGGTCTCCTGAGTAAAAGGAGGACACGGTACCGCTGGCTGATGAGTGGTGGGTAGGCCCACAGTGGCCCATGGACCTTGAGTAGGAACCAGAAGAACTAGGAATGTCCCAGGAGTTTGAGGATTTCAGCAAGTAAGTAGATTGGATGGTATATTGCATAAAACCTACCAGGTTGCTTCCCTGCAAAGAAATGATCCCATTCTCTCTGTAAATGGAATCAAGTCCATGCAAACCCTCAGGCCAGACTAGCTTCAGTTTGCTGCCAATCCATTCAGACCAGGTCAATTTCTGCTACCAGATGAATTTACATAGGACCTTCTCAGAGCTTTCATGGATTTGTTTCACCCACAAGGGCCTGGGAGGCTAGTAGGGGGACCCTGGCTCCCCTCCCCAATCCTGCCCCTCAGTTGACTGGCTCCCATCCAGATTTAGTTGAGCTTATGGTCACTGAGCACCTTGGGGACATGCATGGGGACTGAGTGGTGCCTCCGCTGTGATTGCACAGGCCGTTCATGGTGAGGACAGCTAGGGGATGCTATCAGTTCCACTTTTGCCCAAAATATACCTTTATTAAAATAATGAGCTTAATTTGCTGGACTCTGAGTACTTGCTAATATTTATTGTGTCATTTTTATGACGATGTGTAATTTGGAGTTAGATTTAAACAACTACAGATACAAAAGGAAAAATCAGTAATAAACCACTCCATTTCTTCCTATCTCCTTTGGTTAATGATGCATTTCCTCCTCTGCATGTCTTTATGCTCCAGTCTGGGTCTGCCTAAAAGCAGGACCCTGCCACAGTCCGGTTTGTTTGGAGAAGTCATACCTGCCCCCAGCGTTCCTTCCAATGGGCTCCTGTCTTCCCTGGTCACCTGTGCTATTTGCCTCCTCACATCCTTCTTTACAAGGTGCTTTAAATGAATCAACCCATATGTAAGGAATCTGCTAATGTTTGTGGTCTGGCCAGATGCTCAGATTTCTGTCCCTCTCCTCATGTATTAAAGAGCTATACTATTTTTAACTTTTTAATTATAAAACATGTCCTTTGAAGAAAGTAGTAGATGATGCAGGCTGGCCAAAGTAACAATAAAAGCGGTCACTATATTGATATGGGATCTTTGCCATCTCATATATGATGCTTTTAAATATGTGAATTTTATTTGTTGTGACAAGGAGGTCACACTGGAATATTTTTTTGTTCTGTGTTTTCTACTCCAAAACGCACCTGCCCATCTATTTTTGTAGATGAGGGCAACTGCATTACCCTTTTTCATGTCTGCATGGAGGTGTCACAATTTATTTAAACATCTCTATTTTAGGACACATAGAGGTTATTTAAGTAATTTTTCCTGTTTAAGAATATCTTTTGGAATTTATGCCACTGTCCAGTTGTTTTAATTATCACACATTTCCAACAGAAGTTTATTGGGGCAAAAAGCATCAGTGTTTTTCAAGGTAGATGTTACCAAATTATCTTCACAAATGTGTACTAATTTACATTCCCATAGAGTCATTTATTCTTTCCTTCAACAAGTATCTATTATGCATCCACTATATGCCAGACAGTGTTCTTGGTAGAAGCTGTACCCATATGAATAGAACCAGCCCAAATCCCTACATTCATGGGAGAGATAAAGCTCCTTTCTCCAAATCCCCACTCTTTTTCATCCAACCTGCTTTACCAGGCAGCTCTTGGATTGCTATTGAGATAGAATGTTCTCAGTTATTTTGTTGGTGATTTAAAATTTTGCTTTATATGTTGAATGCCTTAAATATCATAGGTATTATAAACATATGTCCCACTCTGTCACTGCTTCTGACCAGTGTTCCCTCCCCAATATTCTCCACACTGCTTTCACTTCTGTCCTTTGCTTCTGAGACCAGTGAGACTCCGTCTACAGGGTGTTTACTTCGAGGATACTGTTTTCAGTTGACTGCAGACTGCCCTTCACTTTCCCTACTGTGTTACTAATTTGGTGATTGGGGTTTTATCGGATAACATGTTTTCCTGCTTTCATGCATTCACCTTTCATAGAAGTGATGCATTCCAAAATTATTTTGAGTATGAGAATTAGAGATATTTTAATATTTTCTCCCATTTCTAAGAGGAAGGCTTTCAAAGGAGGATATTTGCTTGTTCTTATTTCTCAAGTTACATACAGTGTGAAGCCTGGGAGCCTCCCTCTCCAGGTTTTGACCTCCCCATCCTCATGCTGGGCCCCGTCTGTCAGAGACATTCCCGCAGGGACAGCATGTCTCCTGTTTGGATCTTTAATTTCACACTAGATACGAAAGAACAAGTTTACATTTTCTTAGTGTTTATTTTAGTTGAGTAGTAGTTTATTTCAGTTTGTAGTTTATAATGCAGGAGACAGTACGATCTGCCAAAGATCATTCATATGGATGGAAACTTTCCCTACTTTTCTACTGCTCTTTCCTGTTTGCTGTGATGGTCAATAATTAGGGGTGTGACTGGCCCCTTTTTTTGCCTCTATGACGGCTCTTATTAGGAACTCCCCATTGAAAGCACTACTGCTTTTCTGTGTGCTGGGTTCCCTATTCAGTTGACCATGTGTCATGGTTTGCTCAGATGATATCTATCATCTTAGGCACGCATATTAACCATGTACGGGGGACCCTCTCACCCGGAAGGTTCCTAGTATGGGTGATAATGATGTGGCAGTCCCATTTGTATTCAATCTGAGCATCATGATCTGGACCTTAGCACAAGATGGTTCTCAACGTACAGCAGCTCCTCACTGCTATATTCCTGCCCTTTCCCTCCACACACATACACATGCGTGCACACACACACACATGCATGCACACTCATGCACACATACACACAAGGCCCCTGGTTCACATACTCCCATACTTGCTGCTTCATATCTGGGCACATCCCCATTGCATAGTGTTTGTGAGCAATCCCAGGGGTGATAGGTAATGTTTTCATTATAGTTCCTTACTCTCTCCTTAGAGTAGCTCCCAGTTAATAGGGGTATAATTCAGACCTGCATGTAGCTTTCAGAAATCACTAGCTCTGTGTTGACCTGGACAGTACATACAAATCTTCTCTTATCTGAGCACTGACAAGTCTCCATACAACCTCGTGTTCCTAGAATCTTAAAGTTGGGAAATGTAATTGTGTACCTACATTAAATTCATTTAAAACTTCTTGTAGAATCCATGTTTTCATGAAACACAAGCCAAAAGCAATGTGCTGGAGAGGTTCTCTTGCAGCTGGATCTTCCTCTGAGTAACGTGAGCAGCCAGCACTGGGAAGTTCAGGCTCTTGGTGCTCTGTGGGCCCAGAAAACCTGGGGCTTTGGTGCTCAGCCTAAGCCCCACCATCTCTAGCTTAAATGCCTTGGAAGCCAGGTGGGGAGCTGGGCCTGCCCTGCCCAGGGCTCTGCAGCTGCAGGAAGGTGCTTGCTGTCAGGTACTGCGTTTACATAGCTGCCAGGACAAGCACCAGATGCAGTGTGGTTTGGGCTGGTTTGGGCTCTGGCAGCCAGTTCATGGACCATGTTCTGACTCAGTTTTATTGTGAGTCAACTTGCTAGCTGATTTCCTTTTATAGAGGGCTCCAGAAAGACTTTCTCCCTGTGGAGAACTGTCAGAGAGGTGCCAGGGCCTCTGGGCTTGCTCAGGGCTGAGGCAGGTGGGTCCAGAGCAGGCTGCATGGAGCCAGAAGCCAGCAGTCACTCGATGAGTTCAGCAGCCGCAGCACAGACGTGGACACACCTTCTCTGTTCTTTATGCCTGCAGGGGATACAGTCTGAAGGACTACCTAGAAATCATTGAGTAGCTCCCTGTTGCCCGTGGGGAGGGGTCTGCACATCAGAGCCTGGCTTATGAGGCCTTGCAGGCCACTCCGCAGCCTCAATGGCCTCAGGGTCCCCTGTGCTCAGTTCTTCAGGAGGACCTGTCCTACATGGTACGTCCGGCTCTCCGTGTGTAAAGAAATCACAATTACCTCTCCACCTTACCACTCTAATTTTTGCAGAGAAACAGGAGCCCTTCCAAACTGGCTCCTATGTGCCCTCCTCCTGCTTCTGCAGCCTCTGCCCCCTGCCCTGTGTCCACTGAGCCATGTGGATCTCACTGTGGCTTACCTAGTGCTAGAGATTCCTGCCTTCCTTCCCACACAATGACTTCCTTCAGAGTGACGTGCAGTGTTCGTCATCCCTGTACCTCATGTTCTTGCTACAGTGTCTAGAAAGGGTTATTTCATTATATATTTATTGAGTGAATTAAACAACTGAAACAAAATGTGGCAGGAAAAGTCTTCCAGAAAATAACTTGGACAAGGCTCTACTTCAAGGCAGTAAACAGAGCGTGGACCACTAAAGTTTAAAATGTCTGTAGGAGAGTCTGTGGTCCTGTATTCTGGGACAGGAGGGGAGGGTGCTGATAAGCCACTAAGTGCACCCCACTGGGAAACCCACGGTCCTACCTCAGCCTGGGCATCACCCAGGCCTGTGGCCATGTGCACAGCCACCACCGAACTCCCTTTGCCTCTCTCACCTAGTCCCAATCACAAAAAAGTGTTGAGGAATAAGTAAGACTCCATGCTAGCTCTCTGCAAGCAGACCAGGGGCTGGTGGACCCATGTGGCTGGCTGGGCCTGCTCTGCCCCACTCCTGCCTGTCTGCATGTCAGCAGGATGCGTGCAGCTTTCTGTCTAGTTTGCTAGGGCTGTAGTGACCAAGTTTATGCCTGCAGGGGATACAGTCTGAAGGACTACCT